CGGCTCAACAAAAGCAATAGAAAGGCACACATCTGCCAGATCAGTAACATTGTGATTGATAATAACTACTAAACATGAAATTGGGATTTGGAAATTTTTTCCATTTGTGACTCTTTCCTATCCCTTCCTCCATCTGCAATTAGAAATAAATCTAATCCAGAAAACCAACCTTCCCTACAAAGGTCATCAATACATATTTCCAAAAATTAATAGTAAATAAAAATAACAGAAATCAGTTTCCTTTCTTTTTCTTAGATAACAAAGATTTTTTTTTTCCCCCTGTGTCAGAGGTATAAATAACAAATACAGACAATGCTGAAGTATCTACACAATGATATGAAGCTACAAAGCTCACAGCTGTTGATCACCTAGAACTAGACGATCTTATATGGCAATACTATAGCCTACAAAAGTGCAGTATATTTTTGTTCACAATAATATGGCTGCCATTCCTCCATATCAATCTCAAGCTTCTCATCTTCTTTAGAAATAAAAGACATTTGAAATGGCAAAAACTGCTCCAGATTTGAAAAGATTCAGAAATAGATAAGAAGTTTAACATGAAGAACACGTATTTTCAGAATGCATCCCACAAATCAATAAATTTATGACCACTGCAAAGTTTTATATATATATATTAAAGAAACACAATAAGTTCCCCATATACCACATAGTATCACATGGGGCTTACAGAAGTAAGTATGAAACACAATACAAAATAAACAGAAGAAAAAACTGAAATAAAATTAAGGATGATTACAAAGTTTCACAATAAATTGACAAAAAGTGTTAAAAGCACTTCTGTCGGAAATAAATTGATAAAATTCTGGAGGCCAGTTAATATTTAAGTTTTTCAGTTCCAGTTTTAAGACTTTTCTTTCGTTCTTATATTTAGGACATAGAAGAAGCACATGTTCAACATTCTCCTCTCCACCGAGGCTACAATCACAGACAGACTCGGAGCTCAACTTAAATCTATTCAAATAACTTTTGAAATTTCCATGGCCAGTAAGAAATTGGGTTAATTTATAGTCTGTGAAGAAGTGATGACATGACAATCTCATCTTGATAGAAGGGAAAAATCTCTTTGTTAAGCTCCCTTTATTTGAATTAATGAATTCGTGGTTCCACGACTCCACAATACTTTCATACATGACCTTCTTATAAAAGAAATTAGGAATATTGACAAAAGTGTCAATTTCCCACTTAGTCGCAGCCTTAGCAAGGAAATCGGCTTGTTCGTTACCAACAACACCTGTATGACCACGAACAAATGAAAATGCAACCGGAATATTTTTATCTTTTAGGTTTTTCAGTTCTTTTTGAATCTCGATAATGATATTATTAGAAGAGGAGGTACATTTTAAGATTTCCAAGGATGAAAGGGAATCAGTACAAATGAGATAGTCTGAAACAGCACTATTTTGTTCAGAGACCCATTTGATGACGAAGTTTAAGCACAAAAGTTCAGCTATAAAAACGGTACATTCATCTCTAATTCTGAATTGAACGTGCACAAATTTAAGACCATTTTTGAAGACAACAAATGCGAGACCAACCTTGCCATTAATTTTGCTGCCATCAGTATAGCAAGTTACAGGCGAATCATCTACGGTTTTATTGCTTAACTGAATAAAATTAACAGCATTTCTTTCTGAAGGATGAAGAAGATGAGATGAGGTAAAATACAATCATACTGAGAGACAGCAGAAGCAGAAATATTTTCCTTATAAGCAATAGCATGAAGAATGGCAATGTCAATTGGAGGAAAGCCAGAAATTGCATAAACAGACTCATAGATAACAGAACGATATCCACATATGACCTGCAGAAGTATACGCCTTTGAACGCGTCGTAAATATCTATAATTTATCTTCTTCCTGAGCGATATACCCCAGACTTTACAGCCATACATAATGAGGGGTGCAATTTCTTGTTTATAGATGAGTGAATGAACATTGTAATTAGTACTGCATTTAACTGCATTTATCACTAGTTGTGTTGAGACATATTGAGACAATAAGAACAGTAAGAATGACTAAATATACCAAATGCATATTCTTTAGATCAGCAATAAATAAAGTGAACAGCTCTCACAAATACAATTCAGTTATTTTCAAATCCATTTCCTACTTGCATTCAAATACTTTGCTGGCATTCTTTAACAGTGTACCTTCATATAATTCAATGATTTGCTTCAGGGGAATTCCAAAATGGCACCCATCACGTGCTGGCACAATGTGCATGCAACCATTAAGGGTTGATATATAAAGTACATATTTGTTATAGTCTGGATTGCTACTTCGACGACATAGTGATTTGTCCACTGATTCTTCTCACCACTAAGCAGATAACATGAAAGTACCAAAACTCCGGTACCAAAATTGGTTTTTCTGTATGATTTTACATGACTTTTACAAACTTCTTTGACTTTGAGCGAGTGGATTTCCTTGGAATTGATGCTGTTCAGTCAGTCAATCACTACTACCTCAAGATCATTAGCAAGTTAATCAATGTCTGTGCAGAATTCAAAATTGAAAATAGTTTTTAGGGACCGTATCAATAATAATTATTATTTATGTTTTATGAAAAAACAGAAAATAATCATTAGGAAGTTGATGAAGTTTCTGTACAGACTATGTTTTCCTGCCAATGTTAAAGTAAGTCTAGATCAGAGACTCTCAATGGAATTCGTGTAGACCCCCTGTAGGTCAATGATGATCAAGGGATCAATATGCGAATATGAAAGGCAACTGACTGCCATAATCAAGATCCCATTAAAAAACTAATATTGTAAATATTAATAATTAATTATTTATTGATATATAAAGCTAAATCACATAGTAAGGAAGAATTCATATAAAATAAACATAAGAGAAAATACATAAAAATTATTTAATATATCATAAAAGTCAATAATACTTTTTTAAGTACATTAATTTTTATGCAAAAAGTGCAATATAAAAGGTAAAATGTGGGAATTCAAAAAAACACAGCCCCCCCCAAAAAAAAATACAAAGAATGCAAAATTTTCTTAGAGGATACATTGTTACTTACAAACTGCTTGCAAAATTTAGAAGAATATTACATTTCCAAGGCATTGAAAATTTGAATTTGCCTGCAAGGCTCATAGAACTACACAGCTACTACATACATTGCTAACATAATACAATTGACTCTTCCTCCTTCTTAATTAGAAGAGGGTTTAGTTAAGTCAATAATTTACTATGTTGATATTTTTTAATGAGGTGATTTTAAAAATGAAGTCAAACAATTTTATACTACATATTAAAATATTTATCACGACATTAAGTATTGCCATCGTATTAATTAAAATCTAACTTTTGTACCATTAAAATCTAGGATTTTGTTTCTAAAAGCTTGTTTATATTTCTAAAAATAAGAATAATAACAATACAAAAAATACGATGACAGATTCAATAAACCCTTTTTTAAAAATCTTTTGCTCATACTCTTAGTTTAATTACGAGGGCCATCCAGGAAGTAGATTACGTTTCCGTCTGTTTCCGCTAGGGGCGGGGCTAGCGCGGCCATCTTGGGGTCAGAGCGTTGCGCAGCTCAGTCTGCATCTAGCCGTGCTAGTGAGAGGTTCGTGCTGTGCTCCGTTCAGATACTGTGACGGTTTGAAATGTCTGCGTTAATTGAAAATCCCGCGAGCTGCGAGGTGCGCTCAGTAATAAGGTTTCTGACTGCAAAAAACTGTAAACCGATAGAAATCTATCGGCAGCTTCGTGAAGTGTATGGGACAACATTATCACTGAAGGTGGAGTGCGTCAGTGGGTCATAAGATTTCAAAATGGCCGAACCAATGTTCACGACGAAGATCGAAGTGGGAGACCCAGCATAGTGACCGCCGAACTTCTCGAAAAGTCGACGCTAAAGTCCGTGAAAATCGAAATTTCACAATAACGGAACTTTCTTTGAGTTTTTCCACAAATTTCGCGAAGTTTGTTGCATGAAATCATCAGCGAAAAGCTTGGTTACCACAAGTTTTGTGCAAGATAGATTCCAAAAATCTGACAGAGGACCACAAAAATCAGCGAATGGCTGCAGCGTTGAACTTTTTGGATGCTTACCATAAGGATGGTGACTCTTTACTCGATCGCATCGTTACTGGTGACGAAACATGGGTGAACATGTGAACTGTGAAACGAACTGTGAAAATGAAGAAGTGGCTGGCTATGCAGCGTTTTGATGACGACGCACAGCTGCAAGAAGAGGTAACGAAGTGGTTGAAGGCGCAGGCGGCCGAATTTTTCAACCAAGGAATTTCCAAGCTCGTACATCGCTACGATAAATGCCTTAATTTGTATGGTGACTATGTAGAAAAGTAGTATTTGAGTGTGGCTTTCATCTGTATATAATAAAATTTGTTTCCTATACTTTGTTTATTTTTTTATTCCAAAACGTAATCTACTTTCTGGATAGCCCTCGTACTATCTTTAAGTTATTTATGTGCAATTACTTCCATTTCAATTATGTTGCATGCTGCGTATTACAGAGAAAAATGTAAGGGGTTTGTGAAGGAAACCAATCTTTTAAAAAGGGTCATGCAAGAAAACTGTTAGGAAGCTCTGGTTTAAATAATGTCTTTTACCCTCACTTAAATAAGAGAAGTGCACTGAGATCATAGAAGGATTGTGAAAAATCATGATGTAACTTTCACTCTCTATTTTCCTTCTCGCAGTTATTATACGTTCAAGTATAAAGAGTACAATCATTCCACATACACATACATATTTACAAGATAAAATTACTGGAAATACATTTATACACAATAAACTTAACTAATAAAGAATAAATAAATTAGTACACAAAATCATGATCAAACATATAAAGAAATTTAAGAGCACTTCAAATAGCTATTATTTTACGTATTCTGTGTGTTTAATACATATAATAGATATAACTGTTTTGGATGTTTTGTGTGTTTAGAATATATAAAATAATGGATAAAAACATACATAAATATTACTCACTTTGAATCTTACAACATCTTCCATTCTAGCCATTTTTCCATCACTAACACAAGACTGAAAGAAACTTGGTGCAACACTGACCCCGAGTGCTTCTGAAGACATGCCTGTTTGTGCTTTCTCAGAGCAGCTGGAAATGGCGCGGAATGTACCAAACAAAAGCACCAAAAGGTGTTGAGCAACAATGGGAAGTGATGTTATGAGCCTAAAAAAGTATTATTTTCAACTGATTTATTAATGTTAAAATATCATTACTACTATGGTGAAATTATTACTGGGCTTATAAAATGTGCTATGTGACCTTTGCTAATGTTGTTCACTTTTTCATTACATGCTTTTGTGATACGCAACAGAATATTCTAGAGCTAAAATACCGTATTTGACGGCATATAAGACACAAATTTTTTCCTAAATTTGGTCTCAAAAATATTACCTGTGTTTTAAACGTGAAGGACACAGGTTAACTTTCAATACTGAATGCTATATTTAGCCCGGATAAAGGTCTAGACACACATAACTTTTTCTACATCTCTATATATAATAAAACAAAGAGTCTGTCTGTGTGTGTGTCTTTCATTCGTGCTGCGCGTAAGCTAATAGACCCACGGCTACGAAATTTGGTACATAGGTGCATCTAGAGAAGAGCCAGTGCACCTCGAAGCGATTTTTTCGAAATTTGAATTAGAATTTTTTTATTTCATGTTTTGTGACGAAATCACGTCATTCTGAGACATAATGGGTTATAGGAAAGTGAGATTTTACTCTACGCACTCCATTTTCACATTGTCATGAAATGTAGGCACTTAGCTATTTTACGAACTTAAAATAAATTTCATGTTTCAATAAATTGATTAAATACGAATTTATTTAACAAAGTGAGTTTAACACCTTTTCAATGGAATTTTTTCTAAAAATTTTTATGTTTAAAAATGTACAGTTTATTTTTCTTTGATTTTTGGACACGTTAACCTTTCATCCTTGTGACTGCTTATACAAAAAGAATTTTGGAAAAAGGATAATATTTTGTATTTTTAAAAAATTTTTTAAATGAAGCTTCCGAGTACACTTTTCACATCTCACATCTTTACAAATGTGATTTTGGCAACAATTTTCCTTTCTTATTGTTGTTGATAGATTTTTGATTAAATCGCATCATTTTTAATAGTTTTATTCTTTTAAAAATATGGGTTTGGCAACAATTTTTCATCGTATTTCTTACGTCACTGTTTTTAAGAGATTGGCATATTTCATTGCCATTTTTTTATATATACAGTCAAAAGTCGTTAATCCGGACTTGTCAGGACTTCGGCGATTCCGGATTATCGATTTTTCTGGATTATAGATCATCAGTTTAAATCTGGTAAGATGGCATGCATAAATTATAAAATTAAAAATATGAAACTGTAATTTATGAAATAAAGAACGATTATGATCTAAAGGGTATCAAAATTTACAAAAAACAAAAAACAAAAAAAAAAAAAAAAAAAATGCTTAATATTTATTTGTTTACTTTATTAAACATTTCTCTCAATGTAAGTTGTTTAAGTTGCTTCGTTTTATGTGATAATACTTTCTCTTTAATTCTATAAACAGACATAATTTCTTGTTCAGTTACAAAGTTCCGCTGTTTAAGTCCTATAATTCCTGTGTCGAGAATACCGACTAATTTGTCAATCGAAATTTTTTCGTTTTTAATAACCTCTGTGTCACTTTCTTCACTATCGGAAGCGAATTATAATGACGAAGAATTTGATTTAATTCATATCAAAGACGGAGTACATTGAGATGAAATACTACATTTAGTAAGGAATTATAAGCCAAATAAAATAAAAACAGCGGCGTTTCCCTTCCCCTCCTGCCGCCAAAGAGCAGCGTGAAATCGATAAACAGATTTCAGAATGGTTAGAGAAACAAAGAATATGCCTTTATCCATTTTTTGCAGCAATTCCACTTTTTGTTTAATGGACTTCGAAACATACTTTCGCTTTGTAGATCCTTTACATATTAGTAAATATATATCGGAAATTCTATTTGACATAATCGAAAGTTCAAGCTTACTTTTATAAAATTGCTCTAACAGTCTGCAAAAAATAATAAGCTGGATCCAATTCGAAGATTAAGGAACAACACAATCTGCAACATTAACTGAATTAGATAATTTTAGCTTAGCTTATACCATCCATTATACATTAAATGCGCATGCATAAACGTATTATGCACGTGCGTAGAAAGTTTGTAGCTTTGAGGCCCGGATTATAGATCATTTCGGATTATGGGTGTCCGAATAAACGACTTTTGACTGTATAATACATTTTTATTGATGTTTTTTATAAAGTTGTTCTGCAGAGTAAAATTCTGCATGGAATTTTTTGTTTTTTGAGTTTCTTTCATGTTATTTTTTGCTTATTTCACTGTTTGTAAGATATTGAAAAGTTTTGCATGATTTTTTTTCTTTAACGGAAAGTTGGTTAATTTTTTTTATTAGGATAATTAATATTTGTATTAAGGGATATAGATTATTTCATGGTAATTTTTGGTGCTACTTTGGTAGATGGTTGCATGGATTTTGGCAATTTTTCTTTTGGCAAATAATACGACTTATGGTAAACCCATTGCTGGATAAGTTATTTATGGTAACCGATACTTTGTTGTCATTTTATTAAAAAAATAATGCATTTTATTATGCATAAATTCCGTATTTTAAATATTATTTATGGCTTCTAAATATTAAAAATCAATTTAATTTTGCATTTTTATTTGAAATAAAAATTTTATTGTTTATAATATTTTATATAATTTTATGTTGTGAATGATGTAATTAATGATGTCACCTTTATGTTGTGAATGATGTAATCAATGACGTCACCTTTATGTTGTGAATGATGTAATTGGTTTTATTAATATCTATAAATTTAATCTAACGTTTTAAACATTATTTATGGCTGTTAAATATTAAAATACAATTTAATTTTGCATTTGTTTTAAAAATGATTTTATTATGAATGATTATTTAAATAATTTTAATTCTATGCATGATGTAATCAGCTCCCTGATTGGTTACTGAATATTTGTGCATTACCGTGCCATTTTAAAACTTTATTATTCATCTCTTCGAATTCCTCAGATTTCAAATGGAATGGATATGTCCGTTTCGAACATGAATGCTGTTAATGATAATTACCAAGAATTATTGGTATCGGAATATGTTATTTATTGATCATTTCACTGTTTTTAAGATATTGAAAAGATTTGAGTGATTTTTTTAGGAAACAAAGTTCTTAACCTCCTTTATACCATTTGAGTTCTTAAGAATTTGCAAAAGGAAGTTGGTTAATTTATTTATTAGGATAATTAATATTTGTATAAAGGGATATTGCTTATTGCAATTTATTTATTAGGATAATTAATATTTGTATTAAGGGATATTGCTTATTTCATTGTAATTTTGTTATATGTAATAATGCTTTTTTTTTTATGAAGTTTTTCTGCAGAGTAAAATTCTATGCAGTTTTTAAATTTAACGGTGTTTCCTTCAGTCAATTTTCCAGTACATTTAAAAGCTAGACAAAGGCTGGCAGCGAAGCTGCTAGTCTGCCATAATTATTTTGCACATGTGTGAAATATCTGTCACCAAAACGCGCCAAAGCTTGAAGCTGATGCCGAAGTTCGAACAGGTTCGACGGTCACATTACATCTATGGAGCCTTTCCTTCTTTACATAGACTTTCTTTGACTCAGCCGACACATGTGTCGGTGTCGGTGTTACTCTGTGTATAAACGTGTCTCTGAGTGAATTAGATGCACAGATAGAGTGTGACTTGAAATCAGAGGCCGAAGAGTTTGAAACAGAAATTCTATCTTGTATCGAATACAAAGAGAAAATTCAGTTATGGCAATTCAGAGCAAATAAGATATTGAAAGAATTAAATAAAGTAACAAATTCGGATAATGAAAACTCTCTTAACGAAATTAATTCTAAAATCAAAAGCAATAAATGTACGTGTCTGCCAAAATTAACCATCGCTAAATTCTATGGAGATTACCGTATTTGACGGCATATAAGACGCACTTTTTTTCCTAAATTTGGTCTCAAAAAAGTTACCTGTGTCTTATACGTGAAGGACACAGGTTAACTTTCAATACTGAATGCTATTTTTAGCCCGGATAAAAGTCTAGACACATATAACTTTTTCTACATCTGCCATAATTATTTTGCGCATTCGTACAATATCTGTCACCAAAAAGTGCTAAAGCTCAAAGCTGATGTCGAAGTTCGTACAGGTTCGACGACCATATTACGTCTATGGTGTTTGGTGTATTTAATTATGGCAAAGCACACTAGGGCTATCTGCCTAAGGGGAGGGATGCCTTTCGTGGAGGACTTTTAAGGGAAACTGGCTCGTATACACGTTACACATGGGGAAAACCACGAAAACACCCATGCAGCCAGCCCGTTCGCGGGATTCGAACCTCGGACCGAACTACCAGTGTTCAGCGACTTTACCGCTCGGCCGCTGGTGGGCCTATTACGTCTATGGACCCTTTCCTTCTTTACACAGACTTTCTTTGACTCAGCTAACATACGTGTCGGTATCGGTGCTACTCTGTATAAATGTGTCGGTATCGGTGCTTAAAACTATTTGTTTAAAAAAAATACCCTGGAAAATATGACTACAGGAAACAAGAGATTAAGCTATACAATTCAGTATAAACTAGAAGTGTTAAGCTACACCAAAGTGCATGGAAACAGAGCAGCAGCAAGGCATTTCGGTACACCACCTATCGAAAAAATGATACGTACATGACGACTGCAGGAAGATCAACTGAAGACTGCTAAAAACAAAAATATAACCTTCGATGCCCAGCTCCATCTTGGCCTGAACTTGAAAATGCTGTAAAAATGTGGGTGATACATAAGAGGAAATCTGGGATAAGTGTTTCAACCAAAATGATAATCAATGAGGCCAAAGGATTTGCAGAAAAACATGGGAATCAAAACTTTTCATGGTCTGAGGGCTGGTGCTACAGGTTCATGAAAAGGCTTATCAATGCGGAATCGGTAATGCTCTTGATGGAACAGAAGACGACACATTATTCGAAGAAGGTGATACTAGCAATGACGGAAACAGTAGTGATGACAGTGAAAAGGATTTTTATGGTTTTCAAAGTGATTAAAGTCTAATTTCATGATAGGCAACGTTTTCCT